AATAGAATACTATTGTGCTATAAGAAATGATAAGCAAGTGGGTTTCAGAAAAACCTGGAGAGACTTACATGAACTGATGCTGAGTGAAGTGAGCAGAACCAGGAGAATGTTGTACATAGTAACAGCAACATCGTGCAATGATCAGCTATGATTGACTTAGCTCTTCTCAGCAATATGATAATCCAAGACAATTTCAAAAGATTCATGATGGAAAATGCCATCCACATCGAGAGAAAGAACTATGGAGTCTGAACGCAGATTGAAGCATACTATTTTCACTTCTTTGTTGTTCTAGAGGTCTTTAATTGAAGGCTGAATGACCACTTATCAAGTATGTTGAAGAAGGCGGGACTAGATGGCCTCTGAGTTCCCTTCTATCTGTCAAAGCTGGAAGATGACAACCTCCAGTTTGCAGATGAGGAAACTAAAGGGGAATGATTTTCCCAAGGTCACTTGGTTGGAAAGTGAAAAATCCGGGACTCAAATCCAGGACTACTGAGTTTAAATCCAGTTCTCCTTCCACCACATCAAAATACCTCACTTCCCTGTTGGAAATTGTAGAAGACTACCTACAATCGAACATCATGTATTTAGAGCTGGAAAAGATGTAGAAATTAGTTAGTCTCCTGTAATTTCAGTGTTGGAGGAGACTTTAAGGCATTGTCTAGACCAACCCAATCCTGCAGAAGAGCTCTTTCTGTGACATGGTTATCCAGCCACCACTTCAAGACCACAAATGAGGAGGAGTTCACTCTTTCCTGAGGAAGCCTAGTCCATTTTTGGAGAGCTCTCATTGGTAGAACATTCCCCCCACCCATTTCCAAACTCAATTTACCTTTTTTCTTCTGGCAACCTTTACCCATTACTACTAGTTCTTTTCTATGGAGCCAAATAAAATAAGTATAACCCATCTTATTTTACAAATAAGAAAATTGAGGCCAAGGGAAGTAAAGACTTTCCAAAAGAAACATTAATGATGAGTGACTGAATAGGATTTGAACCCAGGACTCTATTTCAAATCCTGTGGTCCAATAGTTTATATTGTACCTCAGTCTTAATTGACCAGCTTAATTTTACTAGCTTAATACTAACTTAATTTACTAACTGTGTCACCACAGGCAAACCACTTTATCTTTATTGGTCTCAGTATTTTAGAACTGTAAAATGGAGACAAAAATATTTTCCCTAACTTCCTTAAAGAGATGACATGAAAAAGAATGCTATATAAACTTGAGTTGTTATAATAATAATAGCTTACATTTATATAGCACCAAGTGCAGCTAAGTGGCGCAGTGGATAGGGTGCCAACTCTGGAGTCAGAAGATCCTGAGTTCAAATCCAGCCTCAGACTCTAGTTATGCGACCCTGGGCAAGTCACTTAACTCTGTTTGCCTCAGTTTCCTCATCTATAAAATGAGGAGCTAAAGAAGGAAATAGCAAACCACTCTAGGATCTTTGGCAAGAAAACCCCAAAATGAGGTCATGAAGAGTCAGACATGACTGGAAAATGACTGAACAACAGCACCTGCTATGTATCCAGTACTTTACAGATAGTACCTCATTTGATCCCCACAACAACCCTGGAAGATCAATGCTATTATTATCTCCTTTTTAGACATGAAGAGACTGAAGCAGAGAGGGGTTAAGTGACTTTCCCAGGGTCACACAGCTAGTAAGTGACTGAGAATGTGGATTTGAATTCAAGTCTTCCTGACTTTGGGGCCTGGCTTTATTCACTGAACCACCCAACTACCTCTAAACTAGGTGAGATGCACACAAAATATTGTGCTGTTGTAGAAAGAGTGTTGTATTTAAAGTCGGAGAGTCTGGGTTCAAATCCTAGCTCTTCTACTTACTACCTATGTGACTTTGGGTAAGGCACTGTGGGCCTCAGTCTACCCCTCTGTAAATGAGGGCTTGTATTATATGACCTAGGAGGTGTCTTAGAGCTCTAAGCATCTGATCCTGTGAAAAGAGCTTGGAACAAGGACTTTTCCCTGCGTTTCTGGACAAGGGAGATGCTTTCCATCCCCTCTAGGTGGCAGATTCCCCTCATTGAGGTGTGCGGACACCTCTGTATTAGGGGAGAACAAATAGCTTTAGAAGGCTTGACTTTTTTCAAGGCAGGTGATCTGGGAAAGAGCCACATCCCTGACTCCCTTCTACTGCTGGAGGCCATGCCAAGTCTGCGTAGCCAGACCTTGGTACTTATTTGGTGAAGAGGCAGGGGAAAAAACCTCAGAAAGCCAAAGACTTTCTTCACTCCAGTATACTTGGATCTCAAACAGTGACAAGATCGTGAAAGAATTTAATAATGTCCCTGCTTGGGGGCTTTCTCTATTGCTGTGAGAGGATGTTATTATGTGATGGAAAGAATACTAGAATTGGAGTAAGAAGATCTGGTTATTACTCCTGGCATAGTGTGACCATGGGCTCATCACACATCTCTCTGAGCCTCAGTTTCCTCCTCTATAAAATGGTGATATTAACACTTCTGTGATCTATCATCTTTGGCTTGTTCTATGGAAGGCATGTTGCCAACTAATGATGTAAGACTTTGCTATTTACAATGATACTAGTTACCTACTAGCTTATGAACTCTTTAGTGGCAGAGACACAGTTTTAAATCTATTTATAATTCTCACTATGTCATTAGGAGTCAAGAGACATGTTTGACCTTGGGCAAACCATTTTCCTTCTCTAGTCTTCAGTGTACTCATCTATGAAATGAGAAAACTGGACTAAAGTGGACACTCAAAAAAAGTCATCCAATCAATAAACAAATATTTGTTGAATGCAAGAAAGGAAGGAAGGAAGAATGAACAAATGAATGCATGAAGCTGCCTTCTGGATTTGCAGGCCTTTGTCCTTGAGATAGAAGGCATTTTTTTTTTTTACCACTCAGAGCTATACAGTGGCTCATCAGAGAGAAAACAAACAAGAGAGAAAACAGCAAGATTCAGAAGACCCAGCTTCTTGTCCTGTTTCTGTCACTAACTCTGTGTGTGACCTTGAAAAAATCTTTTTCCCTCATAGATCTCAATTTTCTTACCTGGAAAATTGGGGAGAAAAACTATATGATCTTTGAAGTTCCTAATATTTCAGGTTCTAAAATTCCATCTAAGGCTGACATCCCCTGTTTTTATATTTGAAGGTCTCTTCCGGCTCTAATATTCTATATTCAAAGGTCTCTCTGCTCTCCTACTCTAAGTTTTACCTTCTAAAGTCCCTTTGGGTTCCACTATTCTGTTTTCCATTTTAATGTTTCTGTCAGCCTTGACATTCCGCATTCTAAGCTTCTTTCTAGCTTTAAAATTCTATGTTCTAGGTTCCAAGGCCCCTTCTAGCTCTCACATTCTCTCTGTTTTAAGGTTTCTTCCAGGTTTGACATGCTATGTTCTCTGTTCTGAGACCCTTCCCAGTTGATTTTCTAACCCTGCCATTTCACCAAAGCCAGAGGACTCCTTCTTAGCCTTTTTCTCCTCTCCCCTTCTCCTTTCCTTTTTTAGCCTAGCAGCTCTTGTGTCTCTGGGTTGTTTGCAGACAGAACATTCAGGTATTTCCAGATGCTCACCAGCCTCTGCCAAGTGCCTCTCTATCAACAGGGTTTATCCAGTTTCCAAAGAAAACAGTCACGAGTTTTCTTGGGGGAAAGTCTTACTAAAAGCCTGGTAAAAATAATAGGGAAAGAAACATCACCCTGTTCTTAAGATTGTAGAAGACTAAGAGGAGAATGGGGGTGGCCCAGGACAGAATTGACTATGCCAAAGATTTGCTGTGTGACTTAGGGGAAGTCAACTAACTTCTCTGTGACACTGCCTGTCCACATGTTACAAAGGGGGAGCCCTTTTCTTCACAGTGTGACCTGTAACCATATGGTACAAGAGATTGTCCCTCTGTTTACAGATGTTGCCTTACTCATCTGCCCTGGATATCTTTGAGGGTAGTTGTTCTTAGGGAGAATTTCAGGCAGCAGGAGGCTCAGAGATGACAGTTTTAATTAAAAATTGTATTTCCCAAGGATATTTGCAATGCTAGGTACAGGAGCCAAGGAATACTCCAGATCATTCCTTGGGGAGGTCTGCTAAGTGTCACAGGAAGTTCTGGGGGCTCTTATCCCTGGGTTTGGGGGAGAAGGGGAGTGAGAGAGAGAGACAGACAGAGAGACAGAGACAGAGACAGAGATAGAGACAGAGACAAAGATAGAGGGATGAGACAGAGATAGAGACAGACAGAGAGACAGAGATAGACAAAGACAGAGGGACTAGACAGAATCAGAGAGACAGAGACAGAGAGAGAGACAGAGAGAGACAGAGGAAGGAGAAAAGAGCAGTAGGCATGGAATCAGAAGCCCACGGTCCAAATCCATGCCAGGCTGAGTAAAACCTATGTGTCCATTAGGCACACCTCTTCCACTTTCTCCACCTCAGATTCCTCCTCTGTGAAATAAGGAGATTGGAGAAATGACCTAAGGCTCTCCCTAGCACAAAATAAATGATTCTATTACTTTAGTTCAACTTTCTCATTTTCAGATGAGTAAACTGAGGACCAGAGAAGGAAAATGACTTGTCCACGGTCAAACACGTCTCGACTCCCGATTCAGGGGTCTGTCCACCATATCAGGCTTGTAACACTTTGCCTTTGGAAGCTTCAGATCAGAGATTAGAGAAGATTCTAAGACTAAGGATTTCAGAGATTTATTCTCCAGGACTGTGGAGGTGATTTTCTGATTTAGGGGCTAGTGGGGGCAGGGAAGCTGAGAGAACTAGATGTGATACGGTGGGGGTACCACGGGGGGAAGGAGGGGGGGGAGAAGTGGAAATGAACCTTGAGGTAGAGGAGAGCTTGGCGGGAGGTGGTGGTTTGGGGGGAGGGCGGGAAGGCCGTTCCCCATCTCTGACGTCTTCCTGTCTCCACTGCATAGTGGCTGCTCCCCTCCCCAACCCCTAACCCACCCCCAGCCCCAGCCCCGCCCCTCCCTCCTCTTGCATCCCTTTCCCTCTGTGTCTCTCTGCCAGATTCAATGAGAGCCGCGGATTCCAGAGGAGGCCAGGGGCCGCTGAGCTCCGGCCGTGGGCACCGGAGGGCGGCGCCAGGGGGCAAGAACTGGACCCTAGGGAGCGGCCCCGCCGGGACTAACGTTGCTCCTGCCCCTTCCCGGGCCGCACGGCTCTGGGAACTGCGGGGAGAGGAGCCTGTGCTGGGGTTGGGGGTTCAGGGACAGCGAAACTGAGCCCTGAGAGGAGACGAAAGGGATAGGTGTCTAGGGATAGGAGGGGAGGGAAGGGACACTCCTGGTTGCAGCCCTGCCCTTAGCGGATTGGGATAGGGGAATCCTGCCCTGCTCTGCCAGGCCGGACCATGGTGCTGTCGGTGCCCATCATCGCGCTGGGTGCCACGCTAGGCACAGCAACCAGTATCCTCGCCCTGTGCGGCTTCACCTGCCTGTGCCGTCGCCTGAACCCCAAGAACGGGCTCCGGGACCAGGACCAATGCCAGGATGCTGAGAAAGCGACTTCCAGCGTGCTTCGGCCTGCCCAGCAGCAGCAGGTACCCGGGCGCCCCGCGCTCGTCCCGCGCTCCGAACATTGCTCCCTTCACCGCACGCGGGTAGCAGCCCGGAGCCAAGTGCAGCCCTCTGCGACCGCGCCCCCTCCCCTGTCTGGGGGCGGGGCAATCTGCCCCTGGAGTGGGGGGCGGGGATTGACCCCCTGGGGAGGGGGTGTGACCTCCTGGGCCAAGGTTAGGAGGGGGCTGTAACTGGCGTGGGGGCAATAAAGAGAGAGAAAAGGCGGGGTGGGGATGGATATAATAAGAGAGATTGTGGGGCTGGGATATGGAGGAGGCGGGGGATTATTGGGGAGGAATGGACTGAGAGCGGGGCTACGGGTCGAGGGAGAAGAGGGGATTCTGAGGGAGAATTAGGGAGAGTGGGGACCAGTGAAGACAGGAGTTGGGGATTGATGGATTCTGGGGGAGGATTGAGGATCTGTCATGAAGAATTCTGAAGAAGAGAATTGAAGAAGGACTAAAGAGAGGTGGACGCTAGGGAGTAAGGGTGGAAACTGAGGGGTTGAAAGAGGAGAGTAGAGGCTCCCAAGGGGAAGGATAGTGTTGTGTATGTGGCAGGGGAGACGACGACTGAGCCTCTAACTGAGGAAGTGCGGGGCATCTAGTGGGTGCTTTGACTTGGGGTAGTATGGACATGACAGGAGATAAGAAAATTGGGGAACTGGAAGGCTGTGACTAGGGGGTAGGGGGCAGAGTGAAGGGGGGGGACTCAGGGAACATGGAGAATGGGAGGGAGGATTGGAGTCTGTAATAGGACTGGGGAAGTTGATACCAGGAGGAGGGGGGAGGGCTTGGGAAGTGAAAGATTCAGTGACTGGGGTGAGTGGGGGTGTTGTGAGGAGGGAGAATTAGGGAAGGAAGGATGGCTCTGTGACAGGAGGAGGAAGGAGAAGAGGATTGGGGGATGGGAGAAGTAGGGAGCCGAGTGAAATGTAGGATTCCAAGGAAAGATGGAGGTCAGTAGGGACTGTGAGGAGGGGGCTGTGAGGAGGATAGAGGGAATCATGGATTGGGGGGGTAGCATGGAGTCTTAAGAGGGAAGTAAAGGATTCTGAGGGAAGAGTGGAGGAGGGGCTTCAGGGAGATGGTGGAGCATATGTGTGTGGGGTGTAAATGGAGATAAAAAAATCCACACATATGTGGGTCAGGAACCAAGCTGAGCCCCAAACAAGGGAAAATGCAGTCATCTCTCCAGGAGGGAAACTTCTCTAGTGGGTAGAAAGGACGATCTGTGGGGAGGCAGGAACGCCTGCGGTCTACCAGCTTCCAGTCATACAGAGAGCTTGGGGGGGAAAGGGGATGACACTGGAGGTCGGAAAGACATCCCCCGCTTTCACCACAATCTGCCCCCCCCCAATACCCACTACTGCCCTCCGGTCATACATGCAGGAGTTGGCTCCCCTTCCTTGAAAGAAATCTCTGGGAGTAGCAGCGACACCAGCACCCGCATCTGTTCTCCCTGACCTCTGGAGAGCTGGGACTGACTGTAAGGGTGGGGACGAGTAGGCAGAGGATGGATGTGTACTCTGTTCCTGGGAGGCCAAAGTCACCTTCCAGGATGATCTGAGAGAAGGAGGTGGGTTCACTAGGAAGTCTTCTCTTGAGTGTCAGGAGAGAGTTGTAAACAGCTCGGAGAATTCAGGGGACAGTGGGCCATGTGGGTACATCCCGGCCCCTGGCTGCGAGGTCCACCTTGGAATCCTTTGACTCTGGAGGTTAGATCTCTTCTTTTCATTCTCCTAGTAGAAGGGTCACATGAATGTGGGAAATGGTTCAGAGAATCATATAATCATAGCATATTCAAATAGCTTCCAGGAAACCCTAGAACAAAGAATGCTAGAGCTAAGAAGAACCTTAGAACACAGTCAACAAACATTTAAACAGCCCCAGGCACTGTGCTAAGTGCTGGGAATACTAAGAAAGGCAAACCCATAACCCTGTCCTCAAGGAGCTCACATTCTAAGGGGGGAGACAACATGTATATAACTGAGTACACACGAGTTATATACAGAATAGGCGGAAGAGAACCTAACAGAATATTAACTGTCAAAACTAGAAGGTGCCTTGCAGCACAGAATGCTAGAAGTGTGAGGGACCTTAGAACAGAGAAGGTTGTAGTAGGAAGAGACCTTACAGCATAGACTATCAGAGCTGGAAGGGATGTTAGGAGAGAGAATATTAGAGTGGGGAGGAATCTTAGGACATAGAATATCAGAGCTAGAGGAGATCTTAATCCTCATTATTGGAGCCAGAAGAGACCTTAGAACAAAGAATATAGAATGTCAAAACTGAAAGAAACCTTAAAACATACAGTGTTGTAACTGAGAAGGATCTTAGAATTTAGCATGTTTAGAGTTGGAAGGGACCTTAGAACATGGATCTAGAATTTCAGAGCTAGCAGGTACTTTAGAACACAGACCTGGCATGTCAGAGCTGGAAAGGACCTTAGAGCATGGATTTAAAATGTCAGAGCTGGAAGGGACCTTAGAACATGTACCTGGAATGTCAGAATAGAAGGGACCTTAGAACATAGATCTAGAATGTCAGAGCTGGGAGGGACCTCAGAACATGAATCTGGAATGTCAGAGCTAGAAGGGATCTTAGCACAAATAACATTAAATGTCCATCTTGGGTTCAACCCCTGCCTGAAGCATGAATCTTATACTTTTTCTACATTAAGTGCCCAATAACTATGTATTTCAGCCTTTTCTTCACACACCCATCTAGAAGAGTTTCATTTAATAAAGAAGGCCACCATGTCTCTACTGATACTGTGCACAGTGGACTATGAACTCTCTTTTCCAAAATGACTTCAGAAATTTCTCCCAGTGCTGAAGGTCACCCTACTAAATTCAACTGAATTCAAGAAATATCTGTCTTTGCAGAACCCATGGTGCCCTGCACTGGGTCTTCCATTTAATAGATGCTCAATAGCCTATAAAAGGCCCTTTCTGCCATAGGTCAAAAGATTTAGAGCTGAAAAGGACCTCAGAGGTCATTGAGTTTAGTCCTGTCATTTGACCAAGGATGAAACTGGGGCCCAAAGGCTTTAGGTCACATAGGATACTAAGTGTCAGAGCTAGAATTCAGTCCCTAATCGAGTCCATCTAACTGTAGACTCAGGTCTTGAGAGCTCACTCCTGACTCAAGTCCAGGGAAAGCTCTGTGGAGGAGTGACCATTGGGTTTGGCCAGACAGGCACTTGACACGGGTTGTTGCCAGAGATGCGGAGGAGGCTGTTCTGGGCACAGGGCACAATGTGAGCAGAGTTGGAAGGAGCAGGATGAGTTTCTTCTGGTCAGGGTGGGTTTGGTCAGAAGGGAAGTCCTTCCCATCCCCTTTTAGAACCTTGGTCTCAGTCCCAGCTCAGCCTTACTTAATGTTAGACTTGGTATGATAAACATGTTGTGGCTGGTTGCTTAGCAATGGGATAAGGCAGTCAGCTGCATGAATTTTTCATCAAGAAATTAGCATGGGTTATTTCAGGGAGATGTGCAGAACACTGCCTACTGGAGACGAAAAGCATCCTTAGAAACCTTTGACATGCTGTCAGTTTGTTCCCTGAGGTTGTACTCAAAGGGCAAGCCTGGAGTCAGCTGAAGCCCGATGACACTCTTCATTTTCTCCTCCTGGTAAGGCAGGGCAATCCTCATGATAATGGCTCCTGTTGACCATAGAGTCAATAAACACCTTCCACTTTATTCCAACCCAAAGCATTTTTACAGTCTTGGCATTTTTCCAGGCTTTTAATCACAGACCACTGGCTTTGGTCAAAATACACTCGAGACACAAAGAGAGACAGAAAACATGGAGAGGAGTGAACAGGGAAGGGAGTGGAGGAGAGGAGACAAGAGGAGAGAGGTACAGACTGAAAGAGACAAAGATGTAAAGAGAAAATCAGGTGGAAGAGGAGAAGGGGGTGCAGAGAGAAAACAAAGTGGGAGAGTAGAGAGATAGGGAGGAGAAAGAGAAGAGGAAAATGATGGAGCAGAGGAACAGAGACTGAGAGACAAAAGAAAGAGAGAGAAGAGAGAGATAAAAGCTGAAAGGAAAGAGCAGGATGAAGAACAAGAAGGGAAAGGAGAGAGAAAAGTAGTAGAATGGAGGTGCAGTGGATAGAGCTCCGGCCTTGAAGTCAGGAGGACCCGAGTTCAAATTTGACCTCAGACCAGACACTTACTAGCTGTGAGACCCTGGGCAAATCACTTAACCCCAACTGCCTCACCAAAAAGAAAAGAAAAAGGAAACAGGGAAGAGAAATTAAGAGAGACTAGGAAAGAAAAAGAGAGAAGTAAAGAAACAGTGGGGTAAGGAGAAGAAGAAAATGAAGAGGAAAGAAAGGGAGAATGGAAAGAAAGAGAAGAGAAGAGATAGAGAGCAGAGGGGGAGAAAAGAAATGGACTGAGAAGGAAGAGAAGAAATGGAGAGAGATGGAAAAAGAACAGACTGAGAGGAGAAAGAGAAGGCAAGAGGAGAAAGAGACAATGAAAGGAAAGAAAGACAGAAAGGGAAAGGAGAATTAGAAAGAGCACACAAAAGAGGCTGATGGAAACAGGAGAGAGGTAGCGTGAGATTGACCAGTAAACGGAGCAAGAGATGATATCAGAATGGGCTGATATGTGTGTGATATGACTTACGTGTGTCATGGAACAAAGGGAGTGAAAGAGAAGAAGAGAGAATCAGATTGAAATGAACAAAGTAAGAATATGGAAACAGAAAATTAGTTAGACCTAGTCAGGGAGAGAGAGGCAAAGAGCATTGAAGATGTAGAAGGAAAAGGATGAATTAAACCAAGAGAGGCAAAGGAAGGCAGAGACCAAGACTAAAATCAGAAGAAGAGAGAAAGGATCAATCAGCATCTGTGACACTGGTTTCATTTCTCCCTTTTCTCCATACTCATCAGACAGCATCACATTGGCTTTAGTGTCTTCCAGGAACTCAAGAAAAACTCACCTGCCATTCTTCACTAATAATCTTTA